TAAGATGCATTTCATTCACAAACTGCCTTGTTGAACAGCAAATACTCTGTACAACTACGTTAATAACTAGATAAAAATTTTAAAAAATCACAAGTGAACATGTTCTGAAAACTATTTTGCTCTTTTTCTTTAATGTAGCTTGTGTTTCATTTTAATGTCATACCTTAATTCAATCACACTTATTTTTATGGCTACCTGGGATTCTGAACTGATGTACCTTATTTTATTTACTCTGACAAGTAAAAAATAGTTAAAAATATTAGAGAAGAAATGAACGTTCAAAGTAGAACAAATAGAATTTATTGGTTAGTATAATTATTTCACTCCCACTGAAATCTGTTTTCTTTATTTTCCCCCAAGGAATGCGTTTTGTACAAATGGTTCGTCTACCTTCTTACAATGAAGTCATATTCTACATAATGTTTTGCAGCCCCATACTTTTCCATTGGCTCGATTATTTCAGAGATTAAAAACTATTTCCTATGCTCTTTCAACACCGTACAGGTTTGTTTATTTAAAATACCAAATCTCAGGGCACAGAATGGTCGGCTGGCAGGTCCTGGACAAGTTGATATGCCTGCAATCCTCTGTTCCTCTCTCGTGTAAACTGCCCCTGTTGTGTTCCTCCCTGGTGCCCATCTTGTTAACACTGGACATCTCAACCCCATGGCCCACTACAGACAGCTTCCGTTTGCTGTAATGACATCCACTTTCCTGGGAAAACGAAGCATGGAAATCAGCAATGGCTTACCTGTTATTCTAGTCCAGTCATTTATTCTTCTGAACTAAATTACTGGATCCTTCCTCGGTTCTCTGAGAACAGTAGGTACATTCTACTTTACTAGAGTTTTCTCCACTGTTCTTACAGTCTTGATTTCCCATTGCTCTAGTCCCAGATGTCAGTGTGAGCCTTTTGAGGTCAGCATCTTTCACTCATATTCCAGCATTTTTCACTCATATGCAAGCACCAAGACCTTGGCACAAGGTAGATGGAAATCTACATGGGCCATCTGATGACCAATGGTTTCTGAAAGGTTTATGAACTGCATGAGCAAATGGTAGAATGGAATCTAGCAGAGACTGATGTCCTAAGATAGTAAAGTCTTGATTAGCTTTGGAAAAAGATACTATGGTTTAATTTTATGGTGAAAGAAAGTAAAACAAGAATTATTTGGGGAAAAGTGATCAAGTGGCCTATGACCACTCATCCCCTCCGTGCACCTCTATCTCAGGAAGAGTGATTTTTAGAGGCGGAATTGCTCAGAGATCCCTGCCTATATCCACCATCCTCTGTCCCTCCAGTCACTAGATGAACAAAGCTCCTTCTTACTTGAGGTTAGGTAGATTGTTCCTAAAAGATGTGGTTCCAGTTGAAGATGGGATGATCATCTCCCAGCCCACTGCACTTAGCAGGCTGGCTCACTGCCCTAGGATGCCTTCTCAGAAAGCAGAGGCTGAGAGGATGTTTATTTGATATAGTCATCTGTGGTAGGAAGAAGGAGTAGGGTTGGGCACTGGAAGACAACTGAATGATGATGTAGCCCCACAGTTTGGCCAGCCCACCATGTTCTAAAGCAAGGGGTGTCCACTGAATCACCAGGGGCAGCTCCTTTGGTAAGGGCCTCTCTGGTGGGGCAGTTGTTTACAGATGTTGCAGGCACTGAGTGTGCTAGAAGATCTTTACAATCACAGTCTTCTCATAGCACACTCTCTGAAGAGGAAATCGAGTTCATGGTGTTTTCCTATCTACTGTACAGGCCACCATTATAACCTGTCAGTTCTTATTCCATACTCTATCTCCTATCTTTTCGATTCTTCATTAAGTTATAGATAACTTTATTTCTTTGCTGATTGAAGTCACTTTGTAGCTCACTACTAAGTCCAACGTCTTCCCTCCTTCCCTAGCCCCCTCTTGCCTTCTTTTCCTCTACTTTCAAGTCCTCTCCTTTTTCTAAACTATTGCCAGAAGAGCTTCATCAAAACATTTCCATCCACTTTGCTTAGTCATAGCACACCCCTACTAGTTTCCAGCATCCTCAGTGGTGAAGCTCTAACACTGCAGTGTGGATTTTAAGTCCTGCCTCTGGCATCATTGACCCAACTCCATTCTGGTCTATGTTCCACTTTACTCAGCCCTCTGACTGGGTAAAGGCACCTCACAGGTGTCTCTTCTCTGCTTTCCTTGTCCTTGCTCAAGAAGCTTCCTTTCCTGAAAAATCTTTCCATGCTCCTACTTGTGTTTTGATCCCAGTGAGCCCAAGACTCTGCCTCATCATGGTTTGCAGCCTGCAAACCATGAGCCCAGGTGATATGGAAACAAATTAGCTCATTTTCAGCTAAGGTTTCTTTCCAAATCACCCTGAAAGAAGAAAGCCCCACCCTGCTAATCCCCTTTCTGCCTGGGCCTTTCTCTGTAAAAACTTACCCCTTTTATGTTTATGGAGATTGAGGATAAAAAGGGAAAAGACTTTCCATTTTGCCTTTTGGTGAGAATTAACCCTTAAAACAATCTGATTGTAACAGACAAGATTTGCAAATATTGCTGGCTTATAAACATATAAAAATACTTGATGGAGGAATACTTCTTTTGAACCTTCATTTATTCATAACACGTCTGAAGAAAAAAAATTGTTTCAGGTAGTAATGTAATAAAAAAGAGTCAAAGTTTTGGTATCAATAAGAGGCGAGCCCATGGCCTGTCTCCTCCAGTCATTAGGCTGTGTGACTGTGTGAAATGTATTTTTTTTTTTTGGTCTAAAACTCTTGGTTTGCCTCTCTCTTTGTGGAATGTGAACATTACAGGTACTTCAGTGCCTTTCCTTACTATGAAAACAAGAGAAGAAAATGCATGTTAGTTTTCTGAGTAGTGTGGGGCCTGGAAGACTTATCATGGGTACGATGTTTATTATGTGTTACATACTAGACAGAGTGACATAATTAAGATATTGTCCAGGACCAAATTGTCCAGAACCAAGGGCAGATTTCTGTTACCATGGGAATTCAACTCAGGCTAGAAGTCCCTTCTACCAAACCCCCCTTTACCACTTTTTTGAGCATTTGAACCTTGTTTCCCTAAACCAGCACCATCAATAGACATTTGAGCCACATACTTAACTTCTAATTTTATAATAGCAATGATAATGTTTTTTTAAGTAATCAATTTGTTTATTTAACTTAATAGATCCAAAATATCTCTTCAATAAAATTGACATTTTTAACATTAAATTTTTTTTTAAATTTTATTGCAAAGATACTATACAGAGGGGTTACAGTTACATGAGTAAGGTAATGAGGACATTTCTTGTTGAGCATTGTTGACATTTTTTGGTAGTGTTAAGAATTGAACATCAGGGCCTTGAGCAAGCTAGGCAAGTTCTGAGATACATCCTAGCCTGATATTAAAATCACTAATGAGATAGTTTACATTCATCTTTCCAGACTGGATCATTGCCATTAGATCTGCATTTTTTACTGATAACATCTTAAAATCAGGCAATAAATTTTCATTAGACATATCTGATTTAGATTTCTGTGTGTGTTTGTCTGTCTGTCTGTCTGTTTCTGTGTCTGTGTCTGTTTCTATGTATATGTGTGTGTATGGCAGTTCCGTGGCTTGAATTCGGGACATGGTCCTGTCCATGAACATTTTTTGCTCAAGACTGGCACTCTACCACTTGAGCCACACTTTCAGATCTGGTTTTGGGGTAGTTAGGCTTGCCTAAGCTGGCTTCCAACCACCATCCTCAGATCTCAGCCTGCTGACTAACTAAGATTACAAATGCCTGTAATCTTAGTTAGTGCCTGCCTAAATTTCTTAAATTAATGTTGGAAAAACATAGATCCACGTGCTCCATGTACACATACATAGTTTTTCAAATACTGAATTCAGTGTATCAAATCAAATAAATGAAAAATCTAACTCTTAAGTTGTTACAACCAACTGCAGTGTTTTTAATCTTTTTGACTAAACATTTTTTTACATTCAGTTACAGATAGAAGTTCACTAGTTGAATGGATAAGCATGATGCTGTGGAGGTGCTATTTCTATTCAGAGAAGAATGATTGAGTCATTCATCCTCTGCCCATCCACCTACACACTTGCAGCTGAGTCCAAATATCCTGGGACACAGAAGGCATGGAGTTCCATGAAAAATTATGAACGATGTAGTAACCAACAGATTTTTGATCAGACACTCAGAATCTTGGAATTCAAAGGTTTATTAGGATATATATTTATAATCCCACTTTTACTCTGCAAAAATACTTACTCTAGAATTTCTTCAAGGTAGGTGAAGGCTCAGCCTCTGTGAAACACCTGGCAACAGATGGGTTGTTCATTTTCTTCTGAATAAATGTTTCTCCGTGTCTTATCTCATCTTCCAAGTTGGGAACGAGAACTATCTCTCACAGGCTCACTGTGCCCACACAAAGCAAGGCAATCAATAAATTATTAACCAAAAGCCTGACTGACTGACCGACTGTAAGAATTCAAGGTCATGTGAAATACTGCATTGCACAAGTCCAAAGAATATCCTTCACATTGTGTACCAGGTTCATGAACTTTGTAAGGTTTCTACTGTGCTCTCTTTTCTAGGTAAGAAAAATGTCATAAGAAATTCTTGGAGTAAAATACTTCTCTCCTTTTATCCAGTGATTGGAGGTGACCACAAAGTAAATTTTCTCTACTTCTTTAGGACTATGTATCAATCCAGTCATTAAGAGACCACTTTATTTATATTCCTTTGGAATTTCCCATTAATAGAATCTTACTTTGATTTGAGTGATAGCTCAGAGTTTCTAGCTTGAAAATTACTGCAAAACACAGCTCCTACATCCCGAACACATACACCAAGGTCACCAAATGGGAAAAGGGACTCTTCATGGCTGCATGGTTTCTATCTTTGAGAGTTGAGAAAGCCCAGGGTGGAATGGGGGAAGCCCTTTGTTCACTTCTGTGTATCCAAACTGATGGGTGTTTGTTTTCTCTCATGTCTCTCCAGGAAACCAAGTGCTGCCTCCTGGAGCGCCTCTGGGCAGTGGGCTCACGCCTGAGGCAGCCAGAGAGCTTGGCCTTCCCCCCGGGATTGCTGTGGCCACTTCACTCATTGATGCCCATGCCGGAGGACTAGGTAACCTCTTATTCCATGCCCATAGCCAGCTCAGGTTCAAATAGAATATTCCCCAGGACCCTGAAAGGCTCCTTTTCTGCTGTTAAATCAAAGGTCAAGGACTGCTAATTCAAAATGTAATCATGAATACTTAGGTTTGGGATAGAATTATAGAACTTTTTATCCAGTATAAAATTTAATTAGAAATTTTCTTTTCTGTAAATATATGTGTGTGTATATTTAAAGAAATACACACACACACACACACACACACACACTCTCTCTCTCTCTCTCTCTCTCTCTCTCTCTCTCTCTCTCTCTCTCTCTCTCTCTCTCTCTAAAGCCAGGCATCGGTGGCTTACACTTGTAATCCTAGCTACTCAGGAGGCTGAGCTCTGAGGATTGTGGTTCAAAGCCAGCCTGGGCAGCAAAGTCCATGATAGTCTTATCTTCAGTAAACCACCAGAAAGCTGGAAGTAACACTGTGGTTCAAGTGGTAGAGTGCTCACCTTGACCTGATGATAGCACCCAGGCCCAGAGTTCAAGACCCACGACCAACAATAAATAAATTACATATATATATGTATATATATATATATATCATTGTTAGATGTACAGAGGAGTTACAGTTATATAAGTCAGGTAATGAGTTCATTTCTTTTTGAGCATGTCACCCCTTAGAAGTTATTTTCTCTATACATCATAATGTAGTAAATAAATACCTGGTAGTTCTTTAGTTTACTGAAACTTAGAAAAACATGTTCACTTCCATCTCATCTGTATGATGGTGGTATACCTACCTGGACTGTAAAACCTTGTTAAATCTAAGAGATTTTTTTTGACCATATTTGGCTTTTGCTTAAATCTAATTAATTGTTTATAATGATAATGCAGTTTTCTTATATAACATTCAAATCTATCACTCATACATTTACTTTTTTTTTTTTTTTGGTCAGTCGTAGTGCCTGAACTCTGGGTCTGGGCGCTGTCCCTCAGCTCTTCAGCTCAAGGCTAGTGCTCTACCACTTGAGCCACAGCGCCACTTCTGGCTTTTTCTGCTTATGTGGTACTGAGGAGTTGAACCCAGGGCCTCATGCATGCAAGGCAAGCCCTCAACCACTGATCCACCTTCCCAGCCCTACTTACTCATTTTTTAATGACCCATTCACCCCTGACCATTTACCACATATGGTACTGTAAGTCAGTGAACCTAAAACTAAACCAAGGGTTGGGGGTATGCCTCACTGGTAGAATGCTTACATGGCAGGCATCAGCCCTGGGTTTAATCCCTCGCATCTCAAAAATAAATAAAAGAAAACCATGATCTCTTCCAAATTTTTAATGGAAATGCCTGCCAGGTAGTAAAGAGCCACAGTGATGTGATAATTCTGTTCTCTTAAAGATTTATTATTATTTCATTTTTTTCCTGTTCTTTGGAGGCTGTTGAATCTGGACTTTTCTCATTTCACATATAGACATATATTTTCCCATGGCCTTCATATTCAGACCATTTTTGTAAACTGTGTTTCCCTTGCCTCTGCCACTACTCATGTGTGAAGGAGAGCAGAGGGCTTAAAATCCTGAAAGATCATCTACTGGTCCAACCACAGATCCACAGACTAACAGAAGATACATACCAAGTTTGTTCAAACCTATCATCTATCACCTTAGAAAATGAAAATTATCTGTGTTGAACTAAACTGTCAAAATCTCTTTTAATCCTTTGAAAGAGAATGTTCATTGTTCTCTCTGGCCTCTGTGCGTGTATGTGTGTGTGTGTGTGTGTGTGTGTGTGTGTGTGTGTGTGTGTGTGTGTGTGTGTTTGTGTAACAATATTGATTTGGGACTTTGGGACAGTGAGTCTCTTGAAAATTTTGCTGATACCATAGATAACTCCACTGGCAGGCAGAAGGTCAAGGCAGTTCCTGTTCTGACTACAAATAGGGTACTTCTTAGTGCTTCTGATTGCTCTTCGAGGGAAAGAGCTACCAGTACCCCTTCATGGGATTGTTAAAGAATTAATGATGGAAACAGTTAAAGAATTGGCATAGAGGCCACCTCATAGGAGTCGATTTATAACAAGGTCTCTCTCTCTCTCTCTTTCTCTCTGTCTCTGTCTCTCTGTCTCTCTCTCTTACACTCTCTCACTCTCTCTGTGATTTTCTTACTCCAGAATCACAATTCTTGACATGAAAATAGAAGCTTCATGAAAATCCTCTGAGTTGCCACCCTGGTAGGATGTGTCTGTGGCCAAAACTGCCTTCCTTATAGATATGCAGGTGGAAAAGAATCTGCTTCTGTCTTCTCTGAATGTGTCCTAAGATCTCTTCTTTAGCTCTCCATTACTGAATGCAGGATTAACTACTTTCAGATTCTGTATAGGTTGGGGTCTGAAACTAACTCACTGGATGAACTCTGTGGTAAGAGATCTCTGAACATTGAGCAGAAATACCTTTGCAGATTTCTCACAAACAAATCCTGGAAACTGTGGTCCCATAAAGTGCTGGCCTTGCATGACCCACCTGTGGCCACATCAGGTACTAGCTAGGCACGATCTACATTATGGTCACATCAGTTGTTAGCCTAATATAACCTGCCTTGTAGCCACATCAAGTGCTGGCCAGGCGTGACTTACCTTGGGGTCAACATCAGGTGCTGGATGTATATGAGCTGCTTGGGACTCCACATTCTGACAGATAGAAGTGGTCGGCTTTGGCTTTGTGAAATAACCCCTCGACAGTCATTTCCTAAGATGCTCTGGGATGGGAGGATAAAGATCAAAAGAGCAAATATAACTACACTCATATTTTTTCCAGCACTAGGAACATGAGGAGGAAGAACTTTGTGGGAATGAAAATCAAATAATCAAAGAACATTTTGTTCTTAAGAAGGGTGCTGGTTAGTGTGTTCAACAGCAGACAGCCGGCAGATAGGGGTAGCTTTGTTTGCACTTTGTGGAGGTGGTACTGGCCTGGGCGCCTGCTGCTGATATTCTTCTAGCTTATAAAAATAGCATTAACTTTGTTCCAGGTCCATTCTTGGCTTTAGCATTACAACTGTCCTGAAAGGCAGTAATAACTTCACACCTCTCACTCAGGCCCCTCTTCGCTATCAGACAGACTCCTGACTATCCATTGTATCTTGAAGCTTGTCTGGGAAACCTTCCCTGCCTCCCAAAGCTAACTTAGTTTTTTCTTTTTTGTTCCCATGTGTCTTGTATTTCAGGTTTGTATGTGAGTCATCTGCTAATTTTTATATATATATATATATATATATATATATACATACATATATATGTATAATTTTTTAGCATGTTGTCATTTCATCTTCATATCCCAATATCATTGAATACTTTGAATGTGGAGAACTTTTTTTTACAGCTGAGTCTGGTTTATTTTATCATTTTGCTCACTCTGTATACATACATACATATATATATATATATATATATATATATGTATATGTATATCTAGTAAAGATGCTGTACAGAGGGGTTAGTTACATCAGTAAGGTAATGAGTACATTTCTTGTCAAACATTGTTACCCCCTCCTTTATTTTTCTCCTACTATCCTTTCATTCCCCCACCTTCCTTACTCTTCCCCTTCCCAAAAGTTCTAAAGTTCATTTCCAACATAGTGTCTTATCAGTATCATTGTTGCTATGGGTCATCCTGTGTCCTTGTTTCAGCATTTTGTTATTCCCCTTTACTTCCCCAAATTAGATAAATGTATATGAAAAATGGAGAGTACCAAAATCAAGTACAGTGACAACAGGGGATAAACCATAGGGGGAAGAACATAAAAAAAATCACACAGCACCCCAGTTATAATCAAGAACTCTAATAACAACAGATTCTGGAGGGGATGTGGACAGAAGGGAACCCTACTGCATTGTTGGTGGGAGTGTAAACTTGTTCAACCACTTTGGAAAGTAGTATGGAGCTTCCTCAAAAGACTCCACATAGAGCTTCCCTATGACCCCGCAATCCCACTTTTGAGCATTTACCCAAATGATCACAAACTAGACCATACTAATGCTACCAGCACAACTATGTTTATTGCAGCATTATTTACCATAGCTAAGATATGGAACCAACCCAGATGCCCCTCAGTAGATGAATGGATCAAGAAAATGTGGTATATATACACAATGGAATTCTATGCCTCCATCAGAAAGAATGACTTTGCCCCATGTGTTAGGAAATGGAAAGACTTGGAGAAATAAGCCAGGCCTAAAGAAACATAGGTCTCATTGTTTCCCTTATTTGCAATAACTATTATATGTCTGAGACAAGCAGAACTGGTCAGATAAGTTGATGTTAAGAGAAATGAACCCCAAGATAAGGACTCAAATGTTTTTTCTTTCTTGCTATTGTTTCTAACATATTTATAAGGTATTTCTTTGTTGCTTTTTTTATTGTGAAAATACTGTACAGAGGGATTACAATTACATGGGCAAGATAATGAGTACATTTCTTATCAAGCATGTAGCCCCCTCCTTTGTTTCCCCTTCCCATCCTCCACCCGCTCCCCCTACCCAATCCTCCTCCCCAGCCCCACCGAAGTTGTAAAGTTTGTTTTCTACATAAGGACTTGTACATCTCATTGTTGCAATGGGTCCACCTGTATCTCTATTTAAACGATTTGTTTCTTTGTTGCTTTGTATGTCCCTCCCCCATGGTATAACCCCTGTTTTCACTGTATTTGATGTTGGTGTAATTTGTGGAGGGGAAGGGAAAAACAAATTGTTTAAATAGGGATACAGGTGGACCCATTGCAACAATGAGATGCACAAGATGTTATATCGAAAATGAACTTTACAACTTTGGTGCGGAGGGAGGGGAGTGGCGGGGAGAAGGGGGGCTGGAGGGGCAGAGATCGGAAAGGGTTGGGAAGGGGAAACAAAGGAGGAGGCAACAATGCTTGATAAGAAATGTACTCATTACCTTGGCCATGTTATTATAACTCCTCTGTACGGTATTTTCACAATAAAATAAAAAAGAATGCTGTAGTCAAAAAAT